GACATGGAGGAAACATAAGTGCATGTTACTAAGTGAAAGAAGCCAATCTGAAAAAGCTACTTACTGTATGTTTCCAACCATGTGACAGTCTGGAAAAGGCAAAACTATGGCAATAGTAAGATCAGTGGTTGCCAGGGGTGAGGGGAAGATGGGAAGAATAAGAGGAGTACCGAGGGTTTTCAGGGCAGTGAAACTATTCTGTGTGATACTATAATGTTGGATAAGTACCATTATATTTAATACTTTGTCCAAACCCACAGAATGTACAACACTAAGAAGGAACCTCAATGCCAACTATGGACTTTGGGTGATAATGATGTGTCAACGTAAGTTTACCCCTTATAGCAAATGTACCACTCTGGCAGGGGATGTAGATAATGGGGGAGGCTACCCATGTGGGGGCAAGGGATATATGTGATGCCTCTGTACTTTCATCTCAGGTTTATTGGGAACCTAAAACTGCTGTAAAAAATGAAGTCTTTAAATAAAACATTTTTCCACAGAGAGAACCCAATAAGCCATTAATCCCATTGGCTTGAGATGAGTAAGTTTATTGGACTGAATTCAGTGAACACCTCTGTGGGGACCTAAAATTCACAAAGTCCTGTTCTGGCTTCTGAGAGACATTTAGATGAATAAGGCGCACTGTCCTCACACAGTCTAGAAAGGAAGACGTGGGCATGCCACTAATTGTAACAGGGAACAGTTCTGAAAGGGAGCTCAACAGAGAAGGTGATATTTAGCTGGGCTTTGAGGAATAAGAAAAGAATAAGCAGAAATTCTGCAGGCAGACAGGATGATGCAGGGCGTGCAAGAAGAAAGCAGTATTTCACACGACTACAAGAGCATGACCAAGGGGGAGAACAGAATGTATCTCTATGATGCATTGCGGGCATTAATAATATTCCAGTGTGGTTGGAACAAAGGCTACATGGGCTGGAGAGGAAAGGTCCGGGGGTGGAAAGTGGCTGTTCACAACAGGCAGTACTAGCCGGAGGAGTTTGCGCTTTACAACTAAACAGAACTCAGTGGAAGTTTCTGAGCCAGGGACAAACAGTGACCATAATTGTTTTGGCATAATAATAGGTATGTTGGTACATGCCTTTGTGATTCGTAGGAAGAGAAATATATGAGTAGATTGGAAAAGGGAAGGATTAAGAATATGAAAATCAGCTACTACAACTGTTCAGGTGAGAGACGGTGCAAGCTTGATCTAAGGAAGTAGTGGGAGGCGTGCTAAATTGTCTTCATTTGCTCTTCCTGATTACTTCCCATCTTTTTCCATCCTGCCCCCATTTTTCAGCATTGTGTGGACGGCATCAAATGGGCTCCCTAGCCCTTTGGCTTCTTGTTGGGTTTGGCAAGTGGGTGGCACTGACAGGAGGTGGATGTAGGAGGAAAGAGATTAGGGTTTTCATCCCTCAGTTCTCTTCCTGCCAGGTCACAGTTTGGTTATTCCACCAAAGGCTACGGTTCTCTTGGGACATCTCCTATAGCTACAGCTTTTGCTGCATCTTTGTAACCACTCCCTGTTGTGCCTTTTTAGGCCCACAGGTCCTAATGGCAACCTGCTGTTGCTAGACCTGGGGTCGTGTGACAAATAGCTTCTTTATGAATCTCTCCTCCATTACCCCGACCTGAGCGTGCCATTTCTCTCCTGCTGGGCCCTTGACCTGGACAGTGGGGACAGAAAGGAGGGGACAGAGATGAGAGACCTGAGAAGGTAGAATTGAGAGGTCTTGATAAGCGACTGGCTGTGGTGGGGGACAAGAAAGGAGTGCTCATGGACCACACAGAGGTCTTTCTGGCTTAGGCTACAGGAGGATGGAGATGCGATGGGAGGGAGACCATGGATTCAGTTTGAGCATGTTGAGTTGGATGTGTCTGCGGGCAACTGTAGGGTCACGCCCACATGTGAATCAAGAGTTCAAGAGAGGGGGGTCAGAACTGGAGTTATTGATATGAGAATCTTCTGAATCATATATGGTAGCTGAGGCCACAGAAACCAATGAACTCTGAGGAAGAGAGAGTGAAAAAAGGATTGAAGACTAAACTTCTGCAGGGTTGAGAAGTGAAAGAGAGCTGAGGCAGAGAGATACCTGTACAGATTCCAGATAAACTGGTGTCATCACAGATAGGCAAGAACATGCCCCTAGGGCCTGGGTGCCATCTAGGCAGATTGTAATGGAGACAGGGCCTCTGCTAGTGTTACCCCAGATGTAGCCAAGCAGCGGGGTCTCCTGAGCAGATAGGGGAGGGTGAAAGAGGGCAATGGGCCCAGTTGAGGAGACCACCAGCTACCAAGGGACCTGAGAAATGGAAGTGGAAGTCCAACTTAGCTTATTTCATAGACATGATGTTTTGGGTCTTTACTGCTTTGGTTACTTTGGTCAAAAACAAAGGCCCAAGGCCTTATTATTTCAAAGTACTATAGCTTTAAATGTGATTTCATTGTACAGTCCAAGAGAAAAGCAGTAAGTTCAGCAAAAGGAATAAATGACAATGGGAAATAGACTCATCTCTATGGAAAAACTCTAAAAGGAGCACAATGCTGGTGCTGTGTTATAAATGAACAAGAAGGCTAAAGAGGGCAAGTGTAATGATTTCAACTGACATTTGGAATTACCCTTAGTCTTTGCAGTATAAATGGCAGAATATACCACATCTGAATTTTACTGCTAACCACAGAGAAGGAAGAGGGTGCAGTTCCCCCAAAGCTGGGATTCTTAACCTTTTGCAGGTAGTCACTGGTCCTCATTGAGGAATTGAAGAAAAAATTTCTTTTCTCAGGAAAATGAATGCAAACATGCTCACACAGCACACATATGATGTTGCACACAATTGTAGGGGTTTTAGAAGCGACCTGTCTTGTTAATCCTTTACCTATCATGCAAGACACATAGTAGATGCTCAAGAAATATCTATTAAGTGATTGAGTACATAAATGAAGGAGGTGTTATGATTATACAATCACAGTCAAAATGCAAACATCTTTAGTAGGAGTAGGTAAGGTATTAGCACCCAATAATATGAATTCATTTATCCTAGTGATTCTCAACCCTAGCTGTACATTATAATCTCCTGGGGAAAGGAGGTAGCTTTTAAAAACATTAATGCCTGTCTCCACCCAGAACAACCTAATGAGAATTAACAGCTGGGGCCTGAGCAATAGTAGTGTTTAAAAGCTCTTAGATTATTCTATCGTGCCGGCAGGCCTGAAGTCAATCTAGTGGGTTAAAAGCTATTATCATTTAGTAGAGAGAAAGAATATGAAAGCATGGGTATGATAACTAGGTTTACAGGTAGGAACTCAGGTACCATAATAAAAATGATTGTTTCTTCCAATCGCAGAGTACATTACATGGCACTGTCAGATGTGTGGGCTCATCCATACCCCACAGACACACTTACTAATTAAGCCAAACAGGTGTTAGTGACTTGCTTCAGATCAAACCCAGGTCTAGCAATGCAAACTCAGATCCTCTGAGCTGAGTATGTTGTTCTCGTGATTTTGCCAAACTGCCTCTTAGAGGTTATCCTGAGTTAGAGCAGGGGTTCCTCCTCCTGACAGTGACCAACTCAGGAGGTCTGGAGCCAGGTCTGGGAATCTGTCATTTCACAAGCAGTGCTGGTGATGCCACTGCGAGGCCAGGGCTAGGGCAGCAGCTCTAAGCTGGGGCTGGGGTAGAGGACAGGGGAGCAGAGGAGGCATACCAGTCAGAATTGCCTAGGGAGGCTCTTCAAAGTGTACATACATTGCAGATCTAGGGAATCACCACGCAGGGGTGTTGAGAGTGAATATACACAAAGTGCTTGATTCTGATGCCACGTTCACCTCAGCTGAGAACCAACACGTGGATGTGTCTTAGCAGCCCAGCCAGATTCCTCTGGGGCCACTGCTGTGGGGGTGACCCCTGGCCAGCTAGAGGCCAGCCCTGGGGGACAGGGCCCTGGGCAGAGGCTGGTAGTGAGGGGGCAGGGCAGGTAATTAGGTACTGAAAGTATGCGGGAGAGTGCTAAGGGCAGGTGGAAGTGACAAAAACAAGCTTTGCTCACTTCACAGTTTGTCCAGGGCTGGCCCTCATGCAGAGTAGCGGAAGCCGAGGTTGGAGGGAAAAAACAGCGCAGTTTCCAGATCACTTCTGTTTTCCCCTTACATAAGGCACATGTGTCAACCCTGAAAGTCCCAGGTGCCCACCTCTGCTGTGCTTGGCACATGGAAACGCTGAGTGAAACCATAGTCGGGGCAGCAGAAACTATTCTCATAGGGTCCTGACAGAAACTACGAAAGGTGCCCTTATGGGCCGACAGAAATCCACCGTGGGGGAGTCTGTGCTTAGGCATCAAAGACAGAGTGGGCTAGCGAGTTTGTGGAAGGGATGCACAGCTCTGCTCTCCTTGAAGGACAGAATAGATAACTTTCAGTTAATCGTTCCCCTTGAAAATAGAAAGCACTTCTGGACATGCCAGCTATTATCATTCTTTCCCCTTATTCTCCGTCTCTCCCTCTTTGGGCAATCGTTTTCACGGGCCTGTTCTGATTCCTGTGGTTGTGAGCACTGACACGGACTCTCTATGTGATGGTGACACAGGACTATGAGCCACTATTTTCACTGTTCAACGTGGAATTCAGGGTTACCTGGAATGAACAGGGCTGGGAGGGTTTGGAAGGAAGAAGAGAGAGTCATGGTTCAAAGACTTTGAAGGGATTATCCTGTTTATTCTCTGAAAGTTTGCCCTGGGACACAGTAAGCCAGTAGCAAACATCAAGATGGAGCAAGAGAGGTGTAGGTGTGTGTGTGTGTGTGTGTGTGTGTGAGTGTGTGTGTGTGACAGCCAAGGCAGGCTCTGCTTGATATTCTATATCTACTTTGCTCTGCATCTTCTCAACAAGTGAAACAGCCAAAACCTCCATATTTCATGTTTGACACACTCTGAAAATTGTTAACACTGCTTTCCACCATTTACACTTGAAACCAGTCCACTGGCCAATTTCTCACCTGGACTGCCCAGTGGAGAGCCGTTTTAAAGTCTTTATCCACAAGGGTGGGGTCTGCTCCCTTCTTCAACAGCACTTGGGCGTGTTGAGGCTGGTTGTGGAAAGCTGCCCAGTGGAGCGGTGTCATTCCCTGCAAAAGAACAATCAGAGGGGCAGACATGAGCTCAGGCCATCAGGAAGAAAACTTGAGCTCACCCTTTCTCCCCTGGCCTGGGGGCCATCCCCAGATGCCTTGGTTGCTGCCTGTTAGTTCATTCATTTGTTAATCCATCCATTCAACAGATATTTATTGAGCTTCTGCTTTGTGCCAGCCAAACAGGTGTTGAGGATACAAAAGGACAGCCAGCACCAAGCCACAGAGGCAGAGAGCATGTTCAAGAAACAGGCGTCACACTAGAATGCAATCCCTACCGCCAGGGCAAGGGTGGTGTCTATCTTACTGCTGCTCTCTCCAGTGCCTGGAACAGAGGCCGGAGAAACAGCTGTCGAGTGAATGAATGAAAGAGGGAGGAGAGAAGAGCGATGTGAGACGTGGTTGGAGAGGCAGGCAGGGGGTGATCCTGGGAGGGTGGGATGAGTGACACTGAGCCTGCATGAGGCATTTGCATTTTATTCTAAATTCAATGGGAAGAGAGTGAAGGATTTTAAGCAGGTGATGGCATGATCAGATGTACACTGTTGAGAAGAAATCATTCTGGAGCAGCTTGGAGAACAGAGCTGGAGGATTCAGTCTGGTGAATCCCAGCTTCTTTCAGAGTTTAAGGTCATATGGTTTAGGTATAATCTAATAGTAAATGAGTTTATGCTGAGAAATGGTAGCCAAAAGGAACCAGTATTATTTGGGAGGATACACTGTGAAAAGATTGTCTCTCTTCTCCTTGCCCACTCATCTCAATTACATGAGCTGTACCTAAAATGAACTGAGTTAAGATGCCTGGTAGTGGGGGCAATGGATGTGGGCAGCTTTGAAGCTTCTCTTAAGTCATCTCTGCAGATAACATAAAGACAAGAGACCCACCTTGGCCTTCTCTGCTCCTTCCAGGATGAGCTCAGTGGAGGAGATGGGGCTCAGCCAAGTCAGGAGCACAGTAATAATAGCCAAGAGCTAATATTTACTGATTCTGAGACCCTAATGAGTTCTTATATCTATTATCTCACTTAATCCTCCAAACAACCTTCTAGAGTAAGTGTTGTGGTGAAGTCTATTGTGTGTTCCTCAAACTCTGTCTCCTCCAGGACACACAGACTTATCCCCCAGCCTCCCTGCATACCGGTGCAGCCACAAGACTGAGTCCTGACCACTGGAATGCAGACAGAAAGGACAGAAACCCCATCCAGGCCTGGCCTAGAAAACAAAGGCATGTAGTCCTCCATGTTGTCTCTCTTTACTCATATGACAACTGAATGCAGAGGAGGACGAGGCTCTAGAAGATGCTGGAACCATATGATTGAAAAGCCTGGGTCCTTAATTGATGTGAAAGAACAGGGCCACCGGGCCAGCCAGTACTGGATGCAAGAAATAAGCTTTTACTGTGTCAGGCCACTGAGATTTTGAGTTGTTTGCTGTAGTGTGTAGCCAACTCTGGCAGGTACAATTGTCTTTCTCATGTCACAGAAGAGGAAGCTGAGCTCTAGAAGACTTCTCGAGTTTTTGAGTACAGAACTGAATCTAGGGTTTGAGGTTTGTGGGCCACTGGGATTAGAATGTTAAATCCCCTCAACTAGTTCCATATTTTAAATCCTTAAATTATGGTCTGCTTTCAACTTTCAAGTGTCATTTAACAGTGAGCCTCCAGAGATACTCTTGAGGATATTTCAAGAAATAGGTTCCACATGGAAAAAATATGCTCATCCAAAGGCAGTGGAACTTTTTAATCGTATTCTAATAGCTGAATATTAACTTGGAATTCAGAATAGCTCAGTGAAATTTAATGAATCATCTTCATTTTTTATTGGGCCCACTGGGATTAGAAATCTGAACACAAGAAGCCAGGTGTGGTGGCTCATGCTTGTAGTCCTAGCTACACGGAAGGCTCAGGTGGGAGGATTGCTTGAGCTCAGGAGTTTGAGGTTAAAGTAAGCTATGATCATGCCACTGCACTCCAGCCTGGGTGACAGAGTGAGACCTCGTCTCTAAAAGAAAAAAAAAAATCTGAACAGAAAAAATAAGATTCTTTTTATTATACATAGATCATTCTTTTCCTAGTTCTTAGTCCCATTTGCTGTAGAGTCATGTTGGCATCATGGGGCAAAGATGGTGAGGGGTAAAGACAGTGAGTCAATTTTCAAGTGACTGGAGTGTAAGACTCATGGAGGCAGAGCCCTTGTCTGCCTGTCTGGATCCCTAGAGTCTAGCACAGTGCCAGGCAACTTGTAGATGCTGAGTAAACACCTATTAAATCAATGAGTGATTTCTCACTGTTCTTGATTGTTTTGCTTTTTAAAAATTTGGCTTTGCTTTTAAAAATCCTACACCTAAGAAGGAAAGGCAGAACATGACTTCTCCTTTATAAAAACTGAATTTGTTTGATATGATCATTGTGACCAACTCATCAGCTGAAACTTGTCAGAATTTTTGATAAGTGCTCCAAATGATCCTGTGCTTTGTATGACTGTACTGTCAAAGGTGAGGTAGATAGATGGCAACAGCTAAGCAGAGATGCACTTTAGTAATATGAGAATTCAGTGTGAAAATGTGCTTGTGAATTAAACTGTGGTTATGCACTGTTAATCTGTGTCTCCTAAACACAGTTGATAGGCTTTAAGAGTTATTCTCTTAAAACAACAACAAAGCCCTTGCAAAATTCAACTCTTGCCTATTTTGGTAAACGAGTGGGGTGGGAGGAACATTATCATTTTTCACATACCTACTTGGTGCCAAGAGTTTTCTATATGTTATCTCATCGAATCTGTAAGATGATCTCTAGGGTTAGGTATTTTTAGGTTCATTTTATAGGTGAGGAAACTGAAACACAAACAGGTTAAGTAACATGCCTGTGGTCATTGACTGAGTGCATAGTAGAGCTGGGATTCAAATCCAGGTTTCTCTGACTCTGGAGAAAAAATGCTCTTTACACAACGTTACGCTGGTAGACATTCATTCTGGAAATGAGCTCAGCTGCTGAAAAATTCTTTTGTGATTTTAGCTGGATTCAAGGTCATCTCACTTTTTAAAACAGTGGTTCTCACTAGGGTAAGGGCTGCCACTCTATATTATTTGTTTCATTTGGCATTGCCTCTAGGCTCCTCCTAAAAGTGCAGCTGGAAAATATTATTTTTGTAAGATATAAAATATATATTATATTCATTCTCCCTCGCAGTCCACTCCCACCCTGAAATTTGGGAATCCCCTTAGAAATAACTGGCAATCCTCTGAATGGCCCCAAATTAAGACTTGAATTACTTTATTACTTCTCTTACTAATTTTATAATACAAATGGGTTGCAAACATTCAGTCAAGTTAAAAGAAATTTCCTGTTGCTTTTTTTTTATTTTCAGTTGGGCTAATGAGAAATAAAAATAAATCTTCTTAGAGTTAATAATATGAAAACCAAAACTTTCAAAATCAGCTCAAGGGCAGTGGTTGGTATTGCAAAACACTTCTTTTTTTAAGAACATTTTCCTACAACTGCTTCCTTCTCCTTTCTTCAGCTTCTGTTGAGCCTGGAGACATTGTAGTTGTAGTTGTGTTATGTTAAGATTCTGGTAACCATTTAAGGGGCAGACTTCAGGCTTGGCATTTGGCGTCTACGCTGAGCAGTGTCAGAAATCACGTTTAGGCTGTGCTGCACAGAAAGGCAGATGCTGCAGCATATTCACATGGTATGCCCGCTGCATTGAGCACACAGAGGGTGTTCAAGAAATGCTTACTGGGAGAATTAATTAGTGAATTGCAGGTTATCCAAGATCTCTTGGACTCATGGGGAGTATAAAATCATAGTCTGTTGGATACAAGACAGCCATCTGTCTCCAAGCTGCAAAGACCTTTCCTATCAGGTATTCCCTGCAGTTGCATTCAGGAATCAGTTGAGCCTTCGAGGCAACTAGGAGCTAAAAATCTAGGACTTACTAGCAGACAAGTTGCAACAAACACCCAGATGGCCCTGGTAACAGAATTTTACTCCTTTGAAAAACAAAAAGTATTGGCTCAAAAAGTGAAGAGTAATTCACATTCAGTTAAGAATATAAACTCTCCTGAATGTTTTGAAGGGAAATGTTAAGTTTTAATTGACTTAGGATCTATTTTTAGATTGCTGATAGGACTAAGTGTATGTTCTAACTCTCAGGTGCATAGTAGGGTTGCTTGGGAACGGTGCTTTTGTGCAGATGAGTAATTCTGCACCTTGAACCTGTGCCACCACAATTTCAGTTATGGGCTTATAAATCCTACCAGCTTCTCAGAACTTTATTCTTTTTTTTCCCGCCCAAACCACTGTAACTCTTGCGTTTTCTGAACCAGAAATCTGATTTAGTGCTTAGCAGGTTTCATGTTTCAGAACTGTACTTTAAGACTGGCTCTAGCTGGCACTGAAGGTACAGAGAGACAAATGTTGATATGGCTGGGTGCGTCGTACACCCCTTGTGCTTGGTGCATGGGGCGGGAGACAGGGTTGGAGCAGGTGGCTAAGGGGTTAGCAAAACAATTCTAGATCCTCAGAAGGATCTTGAGTTTCACAGAAGTTCAATTTGGCTCTCGTTGACATTTTGAAATTCACATACTATTAATAACCCAATCACATATGACTACTCCCCATGAAAGTTATAGAGAGGGCCTTCCTTAGACAAAAAATTGGAATAAATGATAAACTTTAAAAATACATCTAGTTTTTTAAAAAAAAAACTAGATGGTGTTACAAGTGAAATAATGAAAGCCATTTTCTTCCATTTTTATTTGGAAAAAATCTTATAGATCAGAAAGCTTAGTAAATTAATTCATTGTCTTTGTTTTGAAGTTTCCTAATCCAGAGAGATAAACACCGAACATCATAATGGCCAAAGATTATAACTGAAGACCAAGATTAATCTGCAGTTGGATTTTAGAACACTGGGAACGCCTGCTAATTAATGCCATTCTTTAAACTCTCACTTTCTCCCTATAATAATTACCAGAATAATGTGTTTGACATAAAA